TCTATCCAAAAAGACCTGCTCCCTGATTTTCTTATGCTACACATTGACTTTCACCGCTTCCCACTCCCCCAGTTCTCTATTTACAACGCTTGTAAAGTCACATGACCTAACTGGGAAACACACCAAACTAAGGTTGTCAGGGGAAAGGCTTCAAAACCAGTTATTCTTTGCCAGGTTCCCCTCCTCAAACACCTACTCCAATCTAGAAAGCCACTGAAGGCTTCACAGGAGAAAAACAGGAGCTTTTAATCAATCTGGTGATAAAACCCATATTCTAGGATAATTGCAAAACTGTATAAACTTGATGCCTAAGCACCAAGGTTATATGGGACCGAACGACTGAAAAGAAATTGTCAAGAAAGAAGAGAACTTGTAGGGACTCCTACACACCCTTCCTTCGAATTGACATACCAGGGATTTTCATTTATCTCACCGCATTCCTCCCTTATCCCAAGAAGGAGCCATCAGAGGATCAACGGAGGCAAACAGCTGGACAACATCTAGAGCAGTGGCCTTAGAAGAACATTTGATTCACCTGGGGAGCTTTTAAAAGCCTTAAGGCTCAGGCCACACTGAAAACCAATTAAATTAGAACCTGTGGGTAAGACCCAGGTGACAGCATTTTTATATCACAATGTGCTGACAACCCCGGGCCTACAACAGTGCAAAAAGCAAAGGGATTTCAAGGGAACGCGGACCAATTACAAGTTTTTTCTGGGACTCCGTTTCTTCACCTGATCGAAATGAACAGACCTGAGGAGGGAGAAGTGAGGATCATTGTGTGATATAAACCTCAAAGCCTATCCACTTCCATCAATTTAAGAAACCCTAAATCTAAACATCAGCGAGACCACAGAAACGTACCATCATCTGGGTAGCATAAAACCAACTCAAGAATTCCTGCCTGCCTGCCTAGCACAAAAACTGGTCTGCTCTATGATGACACTACCCAATGCCTGGCAGTTTTTACCATAAGGGAGAGGAAACCTACGATCTGAAGAATCTCCTTAATAAACTCAATCACATTTTATCCTGAAATGCAAACCTCTGAAGAGGGTATTATTATAGATGAGAAACATGAACAACATGGAGGGTAAGTGTATAGCCCGAGTCCTAAGTAGTGAACATTTCGGTTAAAATTTTTACAAAGGTGTATGACAGTGATGATAGTTGCACAACTCTGTGAAGATACGAAAAACCATTAAATTGTATACTTTCAATGATTGAACTGTATGGTATATGAAGTATATTTCAATAAAGCCATTTTAAAAAGTTATATGACAATCCGTGGCCTGTACCATCTACTTCAAAAGCCATTCAACAAACAACGCAGTGGAGCATATACCAAGTGCCAGAGCGTTCTACAGATACAAAGCACTGAGCTGGGATGATCAGGAAATACGCATGCCCATAACTGATGGCGTGTGAACCCTCACCTGCACCTTTGCAAACGGAACTCTTTTGAAGGCCTGGCTGGGGAGGACTCTGAACACAGACTGGAAGGGTTCAAGTTCAGGCTGTATCACTTACTCGCTGTACAACCTTGTGAGGAAATTACCTGATCTCTCTGGACCTCAGTTTAAAATGAGGACAAAAATAGAGGGCACCTACTTCTTGGTATTATGCAAATTAGCGGAGAGATTATTTATAAAGCACTTGGGAAAGTGCCTGGCACACAGTAGGCACTATGTAAGTGGTTCTTAAATAAACGTCTGGTTTATCCTGAGGCCCCTGATTTCCCTCCCATATACTCTACCCTGCACCGTGCTAACCTACAAGGCAGACAATGTGGTGGACAGGGTAAGAGTACAGACTCTGGAGCCAGGCTGGCTGGATTTGAGCCCCAGCTCCTTCACGTCCTAATTATCAGATCTTAGGCCACTTACATCACCTTCTGTTGTCTCAGTCTTCATCTGTAAACCATTGATGATAGCATATAACTCCCAGGACCATTAGAGGTACTGAGTTAATAACGAAAAGCATTTAGAGCGGATTCTCCTATCTCATAAGCACTCAGTAAGTGTTAGCTGCTCTTTGTTTTATTACCCGCTGTCCCCTAAATGTAGTATGTGCTCTCACCTCTCTGCCTTTCATTTGCTGTTTCCTGTCACTGCAGTGGGTCTTGCCTCTTTCCCTATCCATTCCTTCCTACAAAAGTAAGCAGGAGGGAATGGAAGCTTTTTTAATTCATCTCAAAACACCAAGAGTTTTAGATCGATGTTACTTCATGAAAAAAAACCAAATACCTCTGGCATCATTAAGTATTACTCTTCATGCAGAAACCAAAACAAAAAGCAGAGCAAAGGCTAGGTTCTCAGCCTACCTATTTAATAAGAAGAGGGATATGAATAAGTAGTTACATTTGAATAAATAAAAGACCAAGGAAACTAATAAGTGGAAAAGCGATCAAGAAACAGCTGGCTGTGGCTAAGTTCATCGAGAAACCAACAAATCTGCTTAAACAGTCAAACAATTCACCACACTGAGCGCACCTCCAATTGTTGAGTTCAAGAATCTTGGCCCAATTTCTTAGATGCTCCATTGAGGTGAGGCTTCTCTCCTACTCAGGCGCCTAAGTTTTAACAGGATGTCAGTCCTACTCCTGATGAGATGGTTAAGCCTCTGGCTCTGTGTTCAACATGGAATAATATCTGCACTCCAGAAAAAAGCAGAGAGCATGACCAGTACCTCATGCTGCCCAGCACTGACTAGCAGCAGACAGAACCATCCCACAAACATAGAGACCAAAGGCAACTAACTGAGGGGCACTGTTGGACGAAAGTAGCCCAGAACAGCTCACTTGGGGGCCTTTTAAGAGTAGATGTACTGTACTGCCCTTGAGCTACAATGACGGACATGATAAGAAACGGCCTTATGGAATCCACAGACATATATGTGCGGTCACAAGGTAGTCTGTAATACAGTTTGCTCACAGCATGTAAAAGGACATTGGGGGAGGCTGCCCTCAGATAACAGTACAAGGAAACCTCTCTGGTAAGTTTCTAACCTCACTAATTGTTTCCTCTTTGCTTTGGCTGCTAGAAAATTCAGTCACCTCTAACAAGTACATCTGTACTTTCTACTCTGACTTGATTTTGATGTCCTGTTCGATTGCAAATATATGTCTATGTCACGTGAGCCATCAAACATCCTGAAAAGAGGTAAGTTTAAATGAATAAACAAAAACACAAGTTTCCAAAGAGTAAAAATGAAATGTGTCCTCTGCCCTGACTCTCACTACTTGTCTAAAATTCAAATGCACTTAGTGATATGATGTGACGGCTTAATAAAAATACAACCAAAAAGTTAAACCGGCTTCCATGTCACTTATTTTACTTCATACTAACTTATTTTACTTCATAGTTAACCAGTCTTATACCCCAATTATATGCAGATTTCTCAGTTTAGGTTGCTCACTTATTTTACATGAAATTAAGTAAGCTTATTTAGTTCATGTGCAGCTATAAAAAATGACAGTAAAGTCCTTTACTGGGTGTCTACACCCACTTGGAAGAAATCACCTGTAGGGAACTAATTCACACCAAGCCTCTGATTGCATGCAAATGTACTACAAAGAAAAGGTCAAGGGTTTGAAAGGGTTACTGTAGCTTCTACAGTGACTCCCTGTAATCTTCATAGAATCTTCCTAAAACAATTACATATACCTGTGTGTTCACACATAATCCACTCCCACACACCCGGAGCACACTCCTGAGGACGGAACTCAAAGAGTAATTACAGAAAAGAGAAAGGCCACTTAGGCCACATAGTTTAAGAACATGAAGAAGCCTGCAGATTTGGGGAGCCTGGAGAAACTTAAGTCATAGAACAGCATTTAAATATATTTGTCTGCTTACAATTTCCATTGCAAATGTGATTAGTTTGCTTGAATAAACAGGAATATGATGTGTTGGCCATGTTTTCCTCCTGAGGGTTATCACAGAGTTTTGATTAAGGACAAATGTTTGAAATGTTGGGTATATTTAAGTTCACTGCACTTAAAATGAGCTAAGAAGTTGTATAGGCTTGATTAAAGGGCTGCCTTCGTGAACTCAAAATTAAAAGCAATAAATTCCAATGATTCAAGTGATTGGGCCTAAATATGGTATTCTGCCAGAAAAGTTGAAATGGAGTCCAAAGAGACTGAAATGGTGTCCAGGTTTCGAGAAATGGTGAAAGAGGAAAGGTCAAGCTGTCGGAGTTGCCTTTCCTCTGGGTTAGTGAATGATTCACATTACGCAGAATTCCTTTTAAGTAGAACTTCACAGGAGTTACAGGCTCCCAGGACAATCTGTTTTGTCATTTCTAAAAAGAAGCCTCTCAAACGCTCAGAGGCCGGTATGTAAGTGTTGTCAGATGGGGAGAGCGGGGAGAAGGATGACAAAGGTGGGGGGTTGAGGAGTGGGGGTTGCGGGGGGGTCCTCTGAAGTTTGTCCGCAGACTCACGCAAGGCCAACTCTCCCAAGCCATCTCCAAAACGGAAGTCAAGGTGACTTCCTCACCCGGGAGGGCGGAGCCTTTGAAACCTAAGAGGATCAGGCTTCAGCCCGGGCTGCGCCCCCTGGAAGCAGCAGCCCGGGTCAACTCCAACCGGGGTCAGGAGCAGGATCACGCCGGGGTGGCCCGGGGGACCTGCTGACCCCAGTCCCTCCCCCGCCCCAGGCGCACCGGCTTCTCCTCGCCGGCCTTGACTCAGCCCGCCTGGCGCCGGTCAGGCACCGACTCCCCTCCCGGGCCAAGTGGGAGGGTGCAGCCTGCAAAGTTTCTGCGGCAAGGTCGGGCCGCGGTCCCCGCGGTCCCCGCACGGGCTGCCCGCCCTGCCCGAGGGTGCGATCACCTCCCTGCTCCCGCGGCTGCAAGGTGGAACAGCTGCCCCACGCCTTTTTCTATACTATTTGCTTTCCCGGTTGCACCAACCCGGCACGTGAACGCCCGAGCCCCTCGCGCCTCCGGGCCGGATGCGGCCAGCGCGCCCCTCGGGGCGCCGGGCCGACGCTTACCTTGGCGGCCGCCATGCTTCGCCCCAGGTGCGGGCGGCTGCGGGACCCTCTCCCCCGCGCGCTCGCACTGCGGGTCCGGAGGCTCACTTCCCGTCCCGGCGGCAGCGGAGGCGGCGATCCTGCCCGGCGGCGTGCGCGCCCGGCCCGCTCCCCACGCCCTCCCTCCCGCGCGGGTCATGCGGGCGCCGTCAGCCCATTGGCTGGACCCAGCCCGGGCCCGCCGCAGCGCGCGTGATCCGCCGGGCCTCTGCCCTGCGGCTGGGCGGGCCTGGGTCCGCGGGCGGTGGCGTGGCCGCGGCACGTGACCCCGGCTGAGCTGTCCAGCAGCGGCGATCTGTGCGGCTGGGGCCGAGGGGGGGGAGGGGGGCCAGCCTACCTCCTGGGGGCAGCTGGCCTCGCAAGGGCCTCAGCTGGTACCAGGGGCCCCTGCAGGCCCCCTCCCCGCCCCAGACCCACAAGAGGTCACACAGCCTAGGGAAGTTGAGAACTCCACTAGGTCACGTGTTTAGCTAGCTTTTCCATGTCGGTTCCCTTTCAAAGAGACTCCATTCTGCATTGTCATATAATGGATCCAAAAGCATTGACCAGTTGAAAGATAGATAGCAAAGTCATATCGCTGGCAATCCTACTTGTAGGTCGGATCTGGTAAACTATGTACCATACAGATGTATATATAACGCAGAACATATATCTGTGGGGCTACATGTCAGCCCTGCATATTAGGACGGTAGAGTTCAAAGATCTGCCGCCCCCCCCCGCCCCAAGATAACATGCCCTCCTACAATAAATAGGTCAAAATCTTAATGGAAAAATGAAATGTGTCACCTCCAGACGTCTTATTCCTCTTCATCAGAATTTCGTTTGTCTCTGCCATCAAAATGTATAATTAAGGCAATGGTGGTCAGGAAAAAGGGCTTTCAATATTTTGTGAATTATGGATATCACCTATCAGTGAAAGTGGATTTTTTAAATAATTTCAATTAATCAATACTGAGTAAGTGCCTACTATGTGCCAGGCACTGTGCTAGATGCTAGGAACACCAACATGACTTGAGAGATGGTCCCAGTCCTTAAACAGCTTAAGGGCTAGTGGGAAGGAGGACACGTAAATAGTTAACTTGCCTATTAAGGTAGCAACCTGTTCCCAGGGTATTATGGGAACATTGAGGACTGGGGGAGACTCTTGGAGGAGAGGATGCCTAAGCTAAATGCTGTAAAATGGCTGTGTGCTAGTCCAGTGAGGTGGAGGGAAAGGGTTTTCCAGCCACAGAAAATGAGATGTAGGAGTCTCAGAAATCGCCCACAGCAAGTTATGAAAGTGGTTGGTCGTGAAAGGTAACTTGAGCTGTGGGGCTAGAAGGAGAGGCATCTGCACAGGCAGGTCATGGAGGGTGTTGGGTGCCATGTTAAAGGGTGTGCACCTTCACTAAAGGGCTTTAAGGCAGAAAGTAGCCTGGCCAGTTTATCACTTAAATGAATCAGTCTGCTTGCAGTGGGGAGGATGAGGCAAGACTGAACTATTGGAATGGCCAGACAAGACAGGCTGGAGCCTGAAACTAGAGAAGGAATTGGGCTGGAGGAATACATGGGAGGCAAAATTAATCAGCCGTGATGACTGATTGTATGTGGGGGTGGGAGAGAGAGAAAGGAGTCATATTGTCTTGCACATGGATCTCTGGTGTGGATGTAGAAAAGACACCAGAGATTAATAATACAAGAGTGTTTCTAAGAGTGTGTGTCTGTCTGTAAGGAGATTGTATATGCAATATACAAATTATGTTGTAAAAGCCAAATAAAGGAGTATTTCAAAAAGGAGCAATTGATGAACATACTCTCAAGAGGTCTAACAAAGCCCCGAAAGCCTTGAATATGTTCTTAGGCAGAGAAAAATGACCAAGCAAAGAGTGAAAGAATTAAAGACAAGAGCAAAATCAGGAGAATTGATAGAGAAAAGGATATCAGGGGGTGAGCCTAAAGCTTATGTGAAGGATGGCCCCAGTTACTATAAAGAGATTTAAAAGATGCAGAGAAAATACAACCTCATGTAACCAAGATCACATCATATACTGCATATTTATTTTTAAGAGCATCACAGGAGCTCTCCTTTTATAATATAAATGAACTTTTAAAAAAAATTTAAAGGTGGTAAAATATATATAAAATAAAATCTGGGCCGGCCGAGTGGCACATTGATTAAGAGCTGGCTTGGGATGCCAGCTCTGAGCAGCAGGGCCCCGGTTTGGATCCTACATGAGGGCCAGTGACGCTGCACCTTCTACAGCTAAGATGGTGAACAACAGCTCAACCTGGAGCTGGGCTGCCGTGACTCGCCTGCGATGGTGTAGGCTGCAGCCCCTGCTGCAGTGGGCTGCCATAAGCTACCATGAGTGGGCGGCTGGCAGCCAGTGTGAGTTGCCAGCAGCCAGTGTGAGCTGCCAAGAGCTGCTGTGAGCAGCCGTCCAGATCTGATCCGCCTCACCCAGGAAGAGCACAATGATCGTACCAACATGGGCCAGTGAAGCGATGTCCTCCACAACTAGACTGAAGAACAAAAGGACAGCGACTTGCCTGTTCCCCCTACTCAATCCCCCAATGCTGTCCCTTCCCCCAATTCCCCAATAAAATCTTTAAATAAATAAATAAATAAAGTAAAATAAAATCTATCTAACCAATTATAAGTGTACAGTTCAGTAGTGTTAAGCACATTCACATTGTTGTGCAACCAATCTCCAAACTCTTTTCATCTTGCAAAACTAAAACTCTGTGCTTATTAAACAATCACGCCCATACCACCCTCCACCTAGCCCGTGGCAGCCACCATTCTACTTTCAGTCTCTGTATATTCGACTACTCTAGGTACCTCATAAAAGTCGAGTCTTATAGTATGCATTTGTCTTTTTGTAACTGACTTATTTCATTTAGCATATTGTCCTCAAGTTTCACCTATGTTGTAGCATGTGTCAGAATTAAAACAGAATAATATTCCTTTACATTAAAAAAAAATCAAGAATCTATTAGATTTTTTTCCTTGAAATCTTGGAAAACTCAGGAAATCTTAGTAATGATGAAAAAAATCACTCATAATCTTACCACTATTAATATTTTACTGTACTTTCTTCAAGTCTTGATGTCTTTATGTGTGTACGAGAGTCATACTTGTTCATTTAAATGCAAGGCAAGGATTCATAACCTGTGTATACATTTTCTTTGACTGCTGCACCAAAGCCACCACAAATTTGGTGGCTTACAACAATAGAAATGTATTCTCTTACAATTCTGGAGGTCAGAATTCCAAAATGTACCTTAAAGGGCTAAAATTAAGGTGTCAGCAGGGCCATGCTATCTCCAAAATAATTAGACAGGAATCTCTTTCTTTGCTTTTTCCGGGGGCTCATGGCCCCTACCTCTACCTTCAAAGCCCAGCATACATAGCATCTTCTCTCTGCCTCTGCTTCCCTCACATGGCCTCCTCTGTGTGTGACCTCCCTCTTGTAAGGACACTTGTGATGCTATTTAGGGTCCACCCAGATAATCCAAGATACTCCTCCAGTTCCTTAACATAATCACATCTGCAAAGTCTCTGCCACATAAGGTAACATTCGGAGGCTCTAGGGATTAGGATGTGGGCAGCTTTGGGGAAACATTAGTCCACCTAGCAAACCTATCACACTATGGATGCAAGTGTATCCACATATGGGTTAAAGTGCATTTGAACTTACATTTGGAGTCAGACTCAGGTAATTAAGCTTCCTCCTTTATTCTAGACTTACCCAAAACATGAAATTTTCAAAAAGTTAAACTGTCACAAGCCCTAAAACAGGAGACATGCTCCTTGGCTTCCACATGACTTGCAAACAATAGCGTGACATGAAGCATCATCTAAGAAGAGAAAGTGTGAGCTGGCTGGGAACCTGCCACTTTGTCTGGTCCTGACAGGTTTAGGTACCCTTCTGATAAGTAAATTGTCTCATACTTGTTCCTCCTGTCTGTCCCCAGACCACTCACTTCCCTCCCATTTCAAAGCTGGCAACTGCATTTCAAATGAAGAGGTCCTGTTTGGGTTGAGTGTGTCCCCCCAAAGTCCTAATCCCCATTGCCTCAGAATGTGACTTATTTGGAAATCAAGATATAATTAGTTAAAATGAGGTCATACTGGAGTAGGGTGGGCTTTTAGTCCACCCTCATAAGAAGACATCGGGACATTCTGGGAGAACACTATGTATTAAAAAGGCACAGATTAGGGTGATGCGGTTACAAGTCAAGAACACCAAGGACCACCAGCCACCATCAGAAGCTAAGAAGTGGCAAGGAAGGGTTCTACACAGAGTCTCAGAGGGAGCATGGCCCTGATGACACCTTGATTTGGGACTTCCAGCCTCCACAACTGTGGGAAAATAAATTTCTGTTGTTTGAAGCCACCCAGTTTGTGGTACTTTGTTATTGGCACACCGAGGAAACTGATACATGACTGAAAGCCACCTGTGTGTGTGATGTAGCGCCAGATGTCAGCCTGGCTTGTTGGGAAAGCCGCCAACCCGGATCATGGGGAGAGCTAACAGGCACACAGCCCGAGCATGGGCCCAAGTTCTGGGAATTCAGAAAAGTAAGCATGTCCTGCTCTGAGCTTCCACCTTACCCAGAGCAGCTGTGTAGATGCTTACTCAGAGTTCATGCCCTTTGGCCATGCTTTTAAATTATCTGATTTTCTTCAGCTCCACGAAATGAAACAAACAAGCAAATAAAAGGCACCGCTACCACTACCAACATGCTCCCAGATTAGATTGCTGGAAAAGGTATCCAGCAAGAAAGCTTGCAAAGAATGCCAGCTACAGGAAACTCGAGGCACATAACTACAAATTGCAACACTGATCCCTTGTGTGGATTGCACTTTGCAAAGGTAATGCCAGGGCTGGGAAAAGACATGTGTGACAGAGCAGAAGGAGAACCATGAAATAAGTAAATGAAGAGCTCTCAAGTTCCGACCTTGCAGCTGAGACTCAGCAACTCAAGGACACAGCGAGCCCTTCCCGTGCCCCCGTCATCTGTTTTTGGAATCCTGCGGAGCGTCAGATCTAGCACGATAAGCCTTCTCTGAGCGTGGGCTAAAGGTAGGTCAGACATGAATATGGCCCAGCTTCTTAATAGGTCCGAAGGAAAAAAGCTATGTCAACCTT